GCCCATGTCGCAAACGCAGGCATCACCTCCAGGCCCTGAACTACTTTTTCTTAAATTTTTCAGCAATCGTTTTCCTACCTCTGCAGTATAGACACAACACACAGTTATTTCATTGACAGCGCAGCACTCAGAGGCTTTCTAAGGAGACTGCTGTGCTAAAATTAGCAGTGTGATCATGTCAAGGTATTCAAGACGGGAGTAAATGAAAGGTCATGTGAGATTCTCCCACGGATATTGGGCTAAAAATAAAGTGGGGTGGCGGTATATAAGGGCCTCCCCCAGCAGAAGGAGGCACCAGACCTCCCTCACCTCCACGGAGTCCTCCCTCCTCACTTTGCCTGAGTCCTCTCTACTGACACCATGGGCTGCTGTGGCTGCGGTGGCTGCGGTGGTGGCTGCGGTGGCGGCTGCGGTGGTGGCTGCGGTGGCGGCTGCGGTGGCTGCGGTGGCGGCTGCGGTGGCGGCTGCGGCGGCTGCAGGTGCTACCGGGTGGGCTGCTGCTCCGCCTGCTGCCCCTGCTGCCGCGGCTGCTGCGGGGGCTGCTGCAGCACGCCCGTGATCTGCTGCTGCCGCCGCTCCTGCAGCTCGTGCGGCTGCGGCGGCGGCTGCGGGAAGGGCTGTTGCCAGCAGAAGTGCTGCTGCCAGCAGAGCTGCGGCTGCAAGAAGCAGTGCTGCTGCTAGGCGCTGCGTGGCTCCGCCTCTATACTAGTAAATGCTTGAGGCTTTGCTCACAGTGTTTGAGGAGACTTTCATCCATGCCCCCAGCGGGCTTCCTCCGTGCCTCATCCGCCTCCAGGTATTGGAACTGCTCAGGCAGCCTCTTGTTTTCTGATGTCCCAGGGTTGTTTCTGTCTCTTCACAGTGGCGTCCTGACTGTTCCAGTTCCTTCTTCCTATAACCTCCAGGAGTTACCATCTGGGAAGCAGATATTCTCTGTCATTGTAGTCTTGCCTTCATTTGGAAAGAAAGATAAAAACCAGCATATATTACCAGTACTCGGAGTGGAAGCACAACCACCCTTGTCAAAAATATATTTATATTATGAGGTTAAAATAAAATCATGGTAGGTAATATTTCATTTTCTTGAAAAAACTACTGATGAACTTTCTATTTTTTCATAATGTACATTGACTAACTTTTTTCCTGTTTCCATGTCTCTGTAAAAAGAAGGCAACTCTTAATAAAAATAATAATTCCTCCTTATTCAAGTTTGTCTCTCTGTTCTATATATGTGCATCTTGAATGGGTGAGACCGACAGAACAAAAGACAATGGGTGATATTTTCAGATTCTGGATAGGTTTCAGCTAGTGAATAATTGGTCCTATACTGTCCCATAGCAGATTTTACAATAAATATAGAGATTTGGGAATAGTACTCGCTTATAAGTGGGAGCTACACAAGGGGTATACATGGTCATACAGAATGGTATAAGGAATTTGGGAGACTCAGAAGTGGGGAGGAGGGGAGGGATCAAAACCTGCCTGTCTACTATTCGGGTGACCGGTACACTAGAAGCCCTGACTTCACCACTGTACAATTCATTCATGTAACAAAAAAATCACTGTACCCCCTAGATCTAGAAAGAAAGAAAAAGAAGGAAAGGAAGGAAAGAGAGAAAGGAAGGGAAGGAAGAAAGGGAGGGAGGAAGAAAAGAAAAGAAAGAAAAGAAAAGAAAAGAAAGAAAAGAAAAGAAAAGAAAAAAGAAAAGAAAAGAAAAGAAAAGAAAAGAAAAGAAAAGAAAAGAAAAGAGAAAAGAAAAGAAAGAAAAGAAAAGAAGGAGGAAGGGAAGGAAAGGAAGGAAGGAAATTGGGAGGGAATCCCCTAAACTTTGGTCATCAGTGTCATAGGAAAATTACTGTGCTCACCCATAGATCCTCTCATAATGTGTTTTTGCAACTGAATTAAAGTTGGCAGTGTTGGACAGCCCCGTGGCAAGTCAACGCTTCACTCTATCTCTCCATGCATTTTTTTTCACCCATTCATTCATTCATTCATCTGACTGCTATATTGGGCCAGGCATCCAGCCAAGCACTAGTAATCTAAAGATAAACAAGCCTTTGTGTTGGGGGCTGATTCTGGTGTTACACCTTATACTAATCATTCACTATAGCCTGTAACGTACGTGTGCTGCCTGACGCAGCGGTAGTCAGCATTTTCTTCAGACACGGTTGCTGCCTTGTGACTTGATCGAGGCCTGAGTTGTTGCACATAAGCAAATGTTCCCAACTACAACACGGAGGACCCCCGAGGTGGGAGTCTGGAGGCCATGAGAACTAGAACAAGAAGAACTCTCCCAAGAACTGGCCCCCAATTAATGGTTGATAGTCAATGATGGGTAAGACTCCCCATGGAGGGAGGCGACCTAATACATACACAACCGCCTGGGATTGAGATCAAGAAGCACTTCAAATGGCTGCATTGTTTTATGTTGCCTATCTCTCGGCCTTGGCTTTGAGCTCTGTCCGGCACCTTAACTTTAGTAACCATTAGAGGTCTGAGACCATGGGAAATTGTTTCCTTTTGAAACAACTCCAGAATTGACTGATATCACTGCTATGCTCAGATGCTCACGTACAAGGAACTAACCTTGGGTCTGGGGGGTATAAAAATAAAGTGACCGGTGCATAGGACACTTGAGTCATTGTCATGTCCATGTGTGTCTGTGTTGTTATTTTATGTTCTGTGTCATCCCCTGTCCTGTAATTGGGCCATATCACTTTGCCTTCAAAGAGTTAAGGTCAAAGAGGAAAACAGATAAATTAAAGTCAAACGGATAACAGCTTCCTGCTGTTTTTCTTTGCCTGGTCACTTTCTCCACCCCTGTACCAGCTATTCAAATAGATTTTTGTGTACATTGTTGCAGCCACATTGTTGACTACCAATGCAAGAGACCCTGCAACCCTTAGCAATGTTAGCTGACCACACTTTCCACAGGGGTTTTCATTTGGCCTGCCAGTAACATTTGACACAACTGACCACTCACCCCTCCTTTGGATTACACTTCCCTCCACTAGTTTTCCTCCCTCCTCCCTAAAGAACTTCACAGCTGCTCCACTTTCCCCACTGCTATTCCTACTCAGCCTTCCCTGTGGCTGCTTCCTCTATGTTGGAACCACAGGTCTCAGCCCCTAGTCCTCTTCTCCATCTTCTTCCCCAGAAGATCTACATTTTTATTCTATCCTCAGCACTTAACACTCTCTAACACACCACAAATCCATGAACTTATTGTGTTCACTGTTTGGTGTTCTCTCTGCTGCACCCCACCCCAGTCAGAACGTGAGTTCTACAAGGTAGAGATTTTTAACTTTGTTCATTGATGAATCCTAGGCACAGAGAACTGTATCTGCCCATAGTATGTACTCAATAAATAACTTAATGAATAAGTGACTTTTTAAAACATTTTTTAGTATGGAAAATGCCAAACGTGCACAAAAGTGGAGAATAGTACATTTCTAAGAACCATCACCCAAGTCAACAAGTAACACATGGCCAATCTCTTGTCATCTGTGACCCACCCACACCCCTTCCACTACTACTGGATTGCACTGAATCCAGATCTCACATCATTTCATTTGCAAATGCATCAGTTTATATTCCTATGCATGAATGATCTCTCTGTGGCTTCGACTATGGCTATGAGATATCTATAAGAGAAACAGAAGTAAACTTAAAGTTCTCAAGATTCGATTTGAGGCCGTTTCTCATTGAGATGTGTAGAGGAAATAGTAACACCTTCAACCTTTTAGAAATTTCACACCATTCTCTGGAAGAACGGAACAATTTGCAAGAGTGCCTTGTTGCACAATGAGCAGGGCACTCCTTTACCCAATGTGCTGCTTGGTAATTTATAGACAGACTTTTCACGAATCATAGGAGGGTAGAAATAGAAAATCCAAACCAGTAGGACAGGGACTCAAGACACCTGGGGGACTTTTCATCAATTTACTTCTGCTAGCAGTACTTAGCATGCAATGTTTATCTTTAAGAAGAGGTTTTTTTCAATTCCACCAACAGATAAAACATAAAGATTCTTAAACTTTTTTCCACTTTAACCAATAAGAATTTCATAATTTTTTTTAACAAAAGCCCTCTGCTTAATAAGATCACTTTAATATATGAACTACTTATATCAGAAGATTCATGAAATGCCAGTAAACCATCCCACCCCACCTCCTTAAAAATTAAATAAATAGGTTGGGTGTGGTGGCTCACGCCTGTAATCCTAGCACTCTGGGAGGCCAAGGCGGGAGGATCGCTCAAGGTCAGGAGCTCCAAACCACCCTGAGCAAGAGTGAGACCTCCTGTCTACTAAAAATAGAAAGAAATTAATTGGCCAACTAAAAATAGATAGAAAAAATTAGCCGGGCATGGTGGCACATGCCTATAGTCCCAGCTACTTGGGAGGCTGAGGCAGGAGAATTGCTTCAGCCCAGGAGTTTGAGGTTGCTGTGAGCTAGGCTGACGCCATGGCACTCTAGCCCAGGCAACAGAGTGAGACTCTGTATAAAATAAAAAAATAAAATAAAATAATAAAATAAATAAATAAAATAAAATACACAATGATAATAAACATAAATCTCTATGCACTAGTACTACTTCCTTCTGCCTCACGTTCTTCATATGCAGGAGGGGAGTATAGCTAGCCATAACTCTCTCATAAGCTTTTTGGGAGAAATAATTGGATTCATAAGAAAGCACTAGGGAGAGGCAAAGATATAAAATGCAACAACAACAACAACAAAAAGAAAGGACATATTTATAAATAAAGCAAACGACCGACATTGGATTCAGGTCATCCTGCTTTACTCCGTTGATACTGAGTGTCAGCACCTGTCTCTTAAGTGCTCCTTTCAGCTAGAGTTGACTGGTTTGCCCAGCTGGGACAAACCGGCCCAGAGACCTGGGTTCCCGCGCTGGGTGAAAGGTCCGGGCAGCCTTGATTAGCATATGCAAAACAGCGGGGGCGTGGCCTCCGGACTCTCAGTCGCCGCGGGCCCCGGCCCGCGCCCCTGCCTTCAGTGCCTGGGTCCGCCGGCCGCCGAGGGTGCTCGGTTATCCGGGGTGAGCGATTTGGTGAGCAGTCACCGCCTGCTCTAGAGGTAAGCACATGCCCGGGGGCGAAAGACTGGAAGAAACACCGTCACCCCTCTGTGGCAGCGGTGTCCTCTCTGTTCGCCCGCGTTCGGAGGGTGGCTACCTGGGCGGCGGCGGGTCGCCGGGGCCGGGATCACCTGCGGGCGGCGGGAGGGCGCGGCAGGCCCGCCCCGCGTCCCTGCGCCGCGCCGCCGCGGAGCTCCCCGGCCCGCAGCCCCGCTGGGACTCGCCCGAGTAGGTCTGGCTGGAGTTCTCAGTTGCTGCCACCTGGAAAAGCAGATTAAATAAAACCACGACTCTGGAGACGTGCCAACCCCTCCCACGGTCACACCGCGTGTTCACAGATTTCGACTGAGAAGAACTTTTAGCGCAGAATTCCAAATCCCAGTCCAGGGATGGCTAAAAGGCCCTTGCTAGTGAGGAAAAGAAAGGTGAATTTGGATTTAAGAGAGCCGGGCTCTATTGAGAGCTACTTTAATGGAATCTGGAAGAAAATACAACCACGCCTTACAATAACGCTGCTGGAAAAGGAAACCCACTTAGTCCAGTAGCGTGTGTAGCATCTATTTATCTAGTCAACGTTGCTGCTGTAAATGTGCAAAAGTTTAGGACGTGTGGAGTGCTTCAAGTTTGGAAAGGGAAATAATGTTTTCTAAGATTTCTCTCACATAATGTGTTTCGTCCCTATCCATATTGAGACACATGGACGTCTCTCTCCAAAGGCACAGGTGTTTTTTCATTAGTGCACACATTTTAAACAGATCAAAACATAACCAACTTTCCAAATATGTTTTTCTTCAGGCTATCTTAGTAGTAGGTAAAATGGACAAAAATACTAGTTTTCTTCAAGCATTACTGGTAATAGATTAACAATGGTTTCTCAAGGCACAGTAATGGTAAATGTGATTCAGGTGTAGTCAAAGATGAATTTGGCTTGCTGCTGGCTAGCCGTTCCAGTGATATTCTCTACTGTGTACTGTACCTCTCTGAAATTACTGCTTCTAGGCTGTGAACGCCAACATTGTCATTTCTGGTTGAATTTGCCGTGTGTGAGAAGGAATGGGAAGGAAGCACCTATTTATGTGCTTACACAAACAAGCCTAAGGCTGGGAAGTGGGAAGGTTTGCAGTAAGGTGTCACAATATTAAAGCCGACTCAGTAATTTCACTACTAGTATGAAAATCATATAGATTCAGAGGAATAAATGGGAGGTTATTTGAATAGGCTAGAGGCATGATAAATGGTAACCAGTATTAAAAGATAATTTTCAGAAAAGGGTAAAATCATGACTCTTGTGCAGATATGAAAATGAACACATGTTAAAGGTTTTATTTAACTAATTAATAACAAAACAAGGCAGTTACCAAATCAAAGGAGAATGCAAAGGATGGATACATTTGTAGATCAGAAATATTGAATATTGAGTAATGAAACATAGATCAGAAATATTGAAACTGGTTTTCTATAGTGGAGAGAGGAAGAATGTTATCTCTCCATTGGATAAAACTTATTTGCATGTCTATAGACAAGAATTATTTCACATTGTTCTAGATCAGGAATATTGAAACTGGTTTTTGTTAAGTCCGAAGCCCAGAAGGGGACACATGAAGCCTTAGGTATAGCAAAAGGCTGTTTATCTGAGCATCTGGGTGCAGATGGGTAGAGGCCAAAATAACATCCACCACGAGGGAAGGGAGAACCTTGAGTTTTATGGAGGATTTTTTCTGGGGGATGAGTAACTGGGCCAAACAGCTGCTGTTAAATTTTTTCAAACAACCAATTTCTGGGACCCCTGCTTTGGTCTCATCTTCGTCCTTATCAGGGGGGATGGGAATGCCATCTCTGTGGTCAGAGCTAGATTTACAACCACCAGACTATGCAGACTCCTGCACCTATTTTCACAGGCTTTATGATCACTATCCAAGTTTTCCATTAACTGTATTCTGTCCTATACATACTTTTTGGGTTCCCACCCAGAACAAACTTCTGTGTGGGAGAGAAGAAGAATGTTGTCCCTTCACTGGATAAAACTTATTTGCATGTCTATAGACAAGAATTATTTCACATTGCTATCAGTTATTACAAGTTATAAAGTAGCTTGAACAATTCATAGTTTTTCCTTAATCACATTTTTCCCCTTCTCCCCCACCCCCACTCCATGCATTTGACCAGATACCTACACTGAATTTCAGTGACTAGACCTTGTCACTTGGCTTTCTGTCTAGACTGTCGAAACAGTGTTATGGTTTTGTAAAGCACATCCCTCCTGCTGCACCTAATACTAGATTGATCTAACCATAGACATACAGAGAATAAACATAATTTGGAAGGGGATGATTATTTCATCAGCAAATGCCTCATGCAAGTAGAAAGGAATATTACTATATATGATAGAATGCAAAGTGTGTGTTTTAAAGATCACTTGTTTCTGCTCTTGCAATGGTTCTCACCAAATCAGAACTATTCTGGCCTGCATATTGAATATCTGGACCTAGGTCACGCCTTTCAAAGTCGTGTGGAGTATTTCAGTGAAATTTATTTTTTGGTGGGAGGGTTGACATAAAAGTTTATAAGTAGGCGATAGAGTGACTTTGTAGATTGTTGAGAGTCTAAGTCACTTAGTACAAAATTCTAGAGAAACAAACTAAATTAGATTACTTTAGTAATGACATTCAGGGGAAAGTATTTTCTGTTTGTTTACGTCTCTGATCATTTGTGTTTCAGAAATATCTGAATCTGGGTGTCTGGTTTGTTTTGTTTTATTTTGAAATGGGATTCCAAAAGATGATGGGTATGGAAGGGAAGACTCCAGTGCATAGAGCCATCAGAAGGGGGTGGACTATGGTATCTAAAGCCAGCTGGGTCTGAAGGAGGAGAAGAGATTCCAGCAAGAGGAAGGGGCTTTATTGCTGGGATTTTCAGTGCTGGCAGCAGAAAGGAGCTGAAGTTGGATCTGAAGGCAGGAAGCCAGTCCTGGTTCTAGAAAGAAAGAAACTTAGGGCACAGAAGGAAAAGGTAACTGATTCTATCTGTATTAACGTGAAGAATGTCCTGTGGCCACACTTACAATGTTTATTGGTCTGACCTGGCTTGGCTATTCAGCACTGTTTCCATTCTGAATTTTCTGGGAAAGACTCAATTTCGAAGATCCTGTTTTGTTTTTCAATTATATAGGGGCTTTGTCCTATAGTGGAATTTGGAATAATTCACTCAAGTCATTGCACCAATACAGAGAGGCTCTACACAGTAAAATGCTTTGGAGGAGGGAGGGTAAGATGCATTTTTTTTTTTTTAAATCTCACTGATAAGCATAATTACTAATTTAAGGCTTGACTGATTTATTTCTTCATTAACAAATATTTATTGGTAACCTCCTAAAGGACTATTTCAGATTCAAAGATGCACAGGTATAGTCTCTGTCTAGAAAAACAATCTAGTTAACAAAAAATGGTGAGAAAGAATGTCCAAATGTCCTAAGAAGCAAGATCTACAAAATTCTGCCTATAACAGGCCTAAGAACAACACAACAGCAACAAATCTTTGTCATGACAAAGGTTGGGCTTAAAGATGATGAATTAACTAAAGATTTATATAACTAAATAGGAAATACAAATGTTCCTGCCATAAATGCATGACATATTTGCTCTTATAAACTGCAACGTATCAACTGCTTATAAATGCTTTTGCTTTCTCCCCTTATCTGCTATAATTTACTTAGAGTTTGGCTATGCAATGTCCCAGTACTATTTTATTTTTATTGAAATGATCATACTGGTTCCTAACAGTGTTAAGGAAAAACTGAAAAATGATCATTACAATTTTTTCCCCTAATGTCCCTACTTTCACTCTTTTTTTTTTTTTGTTCCACCGACAGAATTTATTACCCAAAGCAGTTTCAGAAATTCCAGGCACAGGTCTTATCCAGTTACAAGAAAATCAGAATCTCTTTAAACTCACCCTCCACCCGCAGCTGAAGTGAAGGATTAAAGGCCTCAGCCCAAGTTATGTCACGGCTGCTATATCCTCATTCTTGATTAATAATCTCAAAGTCACAAGTGGGCATGATGTAATTTGGCTCAAAATTTTACATAGAAGACCTCAACAATTAAAATAAGACAAGTTCAGAGATATCATTCCAATAACAGAAAGATACTGAAAGCTTTTAACTGGCTATGAGAGGGGGAAAGATCTTCTGTTTATAATAACCAGAATTAAATGGAACTGTCTAAGAATCATCAGAGAGTGTAAACCTACAAGGAGATGCTAATCCTGTGGGGTGGGGAAGTTTATGGGCTGACCAAACCCTCCTGGGCTAGTCAGAGGCACTATTTATGGTCTTCCCGTAAATGTCCTCAGCGAGGAGATTCCTGCTAGCAGTGTTGAAAGGCTGAAAGATAGGCTTTTTGGGCAATGAAACTGTGGTATAATATGAAATATATTTGATCTGTGAGCTAAAATGCTTGGAAATTCCTGAGTGACAAGTGTCTTTTGTTGTTCATAATGAGTCCTCTTCGATAACACCTGTGTTTATGCTAACGAGGTAGCTTAGAGTGCACCCCTAGATAGCCAAAAATCTGGGGGCAGGGGGACGCTGGGGCTCAGGCTCTGTAAAACTCAAATGATAGGAGTTGATGAGCTGCTCACGGAGGTGCTGCCAGGGTGGCACACCCAGAGAGGGCGTGAAAGCTCCACTCCCCGCCCTTACCTTGCCCTCTCCATCCCTTCATCCCTATCCTCTGTAACATCCTCCATAATAAACCAGTTAACAAATGTCTCCCCCAGTTCTGTGAGCCATCCCAGCAAATTAACCAAGCCCAAGGAGGAGGTACCAGGAAGCTTGGTTTATAGCTGGTCGGTCAACAACATAGGTGACAAACCTACTGCTTGTCATTGGCATCTGAAGCGTGGGGCAGGTTTGTGGGACTGAGCCCTTAACCCGTAAGATCTGGGCTGACTCCACGTAGATGGTGTCAGAATTGAACTGAATTACATGGGACACCCAGTTGGTGTGTCTGGTGGAGAACTGCTTGGTGTGGGGGAGAAAACCAACCCACACATCTGGTCACAGACTTGTACTGTGTTGAGTGTGTGAGTAGAAGCAAAAAAGGCATTTGCTTTTTCTTTCAGGAACAACTACCGGCCCAAACTCTTATGTTTAATGAGGCATTGGGCTTTGGGGGCAAGTAAAATCATTCACAAATGTCATCTCTCTTGCCCAGCTGCTCAGATCCTTTATAATTGAGAGGCTGTGAGGTTCCTGATTATTTTAAACTATCAATCTGTTGCTCTCTTATTTGAAATAGGTGTTTCTAGACTGCAGTAAAGGTCTGAGGAATAATGTGAAAATTAGGCCAGCCTGCTTCTCAGACGCTGGCTGTCTTGTCAGACACCCTCTCCAAGATGGCTGGGACGATTAGGGGAGAAAGGTGGCCAGAATTGGGCAGAAACGAGATTCTAGATCATTTCCTTCTAAATTATTGGCAGCTGGGTTAATTCCAGCAGTATATTAATTCCAGCAGTAACAAACAGGGGAGAGGACTTAATACAGTGATTCCTTTACACTGACTCAGTCTTTCGATCTCTAGGCTGTCATGGGCCACCTTTGCAAAACTAGGTTTGGGGAAGTTATTTGCTTTCATCAGCCCATCTTGTCCCCTACCCCAGGGACCCCCCCAGACTTTTAACATTTTGGCTGCGGGAGGAGAGTTCTGTCCTCTGAGCGTGGATGTAGGAATCTGACCAACTAAGGCAGCTCCTTAGCTAGGAAATCACCCCCAGGCCTCAGCAGGAAGCACACCAGTGCAAGCCAGTTTCCGCAGGTCTTGCTTTTTAATAGTTGCTTATCCTACACAAATGGAAACTATACTTAGAAATGTTTGTGGACGTAGAGATTTTAAGCATATACACTTGCACACACACATAACCTGTGGGTTAAGAAATAGGATGCTGTCCCCATCTGAAATTTAGGTAAGATCCAAGTTGGCTTAGGTTCAATATGACTCCCCAGTGCATGTATGAAAAATATATGAACATTTGTATGTGCACAGTATGGAAAGGGGTTAATTCACACAGTGACTCTGTGAGTTAAAGCTAACTGAAAAGAAATAAAAGAGTGGAACCAGGAAATGTGAGTTCCAGCTTTCTCTTGTAAATAACCCCAAATGCGATGCTGGCAATGAAGTAATTTTTTTTGTTTCTCATTAAAAAAAAAAAAGGTTTCAGCTTCCTGTACCACAGAATTAAGATGATAAATGAGCTTATCTTACGGTCGATATAAGAAATTTTGGAGTTTCAGGGATTGTGTTAAAAATCAAGTAAATGCTTATGATCATTGTTGAAGTGTTTGTATAGGAAAGAAGTCTGGCCTGAAACCAATTGGAAAGACTTAACGGAATGGTTAAAAAACAATTTTAAGGGGCATGGGCAATATTTGTAACCTTAACACTTGTACTCCCATAATACACTAAAATAAAATTAAAAAAAAAAAACAATTTAAGGAGGTGGTTAAAAGTGGAAAAAGCCATTCATATGGTAATAATTGGGATAAAAGAGGAGAGAAAAATTTAACTCTGATACCAAGAAACTATAAGTATGTAAGAGGGTACATAAAAAGAAATTTTCCGCAGGTAGATAAAAAACAAAAATCGTGAGAAGTTACTCTAGAAGTAACGTGATCACAGCCAAAATACAAATAACATTTTAAATTTTGTGGGAGATAAAGAAAAATCTATAAGCACCTCAGAATGAAGTAGGATTCGGTGTATTAACAAGAGAATTCTTATTCTTCAAAGGCTATAGCACCCCACCCACCACAAGGAAGGGGAAGGCCTTGTGTGGAGTGTGTGGAAATGAGCCCAAAATAGAGACTGAGAGAACCTGGAGGCCTAACAGTAGAGGACTGAGGAGTTTCTGGTGAGATAGTGGTGGCTTTTTTTCATAAGATGAAATATAATTATTATTCCCCTACCAGCAAAAGGAGAAAGGAACACATTAGTTCCAAGGCAATTTCGGTAGTCATTTCCAACACAGACGTGTGGGAGGTGGTGCTTGAGGGTCATTCAAGGCCACAAGTGCTGGCTGGGCCAGTGTCTTTGTTGTACAACCCTACAGTCCCCAGGTGGAGGATGCTTTCTCCAGGGCCCACATGGTGTGCTGCAGCTGGGTGGAAGGCCAGAGCTCACTACTGTTACTAGCTAGAGTTCTCCCACTGCAAAACCTCTCCTGCAGGTCCACCCCCACCAAGGAAGCCTTGTAGATTTCACTCTTGTAGATTTCCTGCTCTGAGCTTCTGCTACAAGCAGCTGCTGCAGAATTCAGCCTTTCTTTTTACTTTCTGCATCTTTACTGTGTGTTTCAAATCATAATAGACTAAACTGATAGGTTTTGTTTTGGGAACGTTCTCCCCCACCCCACCCTTTTTTCTGTCTACTGCTTACACAGTCTACTTGTACCTTTTTTTAAAAAGTGAAAATGGAGCTAATGAGTAATGTGTGAGAATTACCGCCACAGGGGCAGCTTTTAAAAGGGGTATCTTCTTACTTGGAGCACAGAAAATAAAGGGGAAGGAAAAGGTAGACATCTTGCTTTCAGAAGTGTGAACTCAGAAATCCAAGCCAATTCATGTCCTCAGGTTGGAGGCAATGAAACTAAGGGAAGTTTAGAGTACTTTTTAGGAAGGGGGTAATATTATGGAGTCAAAAGGGAATGATAAATGGAAAACCAGCAAATCAACAGTCTGTTCCAGAATGATACTTTGTTGTAAAGGATCTGGTCCTCTCAGACAACAGTGTTCTATGATGAAATTCACTGTGTGTTTATGTAGCTATTTAGTCCTGCTCTTTCCTCTGCAACTTGTAACCTAGTGCTGTGTCCCATGGTAAGATAGTGAACATCATCAGTCTATATGTATATTCATATATTGCTGACCTAAATAAAAGTTTCAGAAAAAAAAACTTAGGCTTACTCTACAATGCATTCTGATATTTAATATTTTTTGCACCATTTTTTAAAAATTCTGTTTGGAACCCACTAAATTTCTTTGACACCACAATCTGAAAAACACTATTCTAAATAAACTCAAATTGGAATTTTGAGGTTATGCTATCATGGTAAGATGAACTATTACTGAACTTGGAATTAGAAAACCTGAGTCCAAACAGAGGCTCTTGTGTTTGTGAAATGTGAAAACCAGCACAATATTATTGCCCGTGGCCCTCCATTTCCTCATCTAAAAAATGAGGACTGTACCACCTTTTATCTAATTCATAGAATGGGCAAAAAAAATTAAAATACATTTCCAAATGTAAAAAGTATAGAAGGAGGTTACATAAGTAATTCAATTATTATTGTCATAGCTGGCATGACATAAAGAGCAGCATATCCTTAATGATAACATAAAAATAAAAGATGATGACTAATACGTAATGATCTCCATCAGTTACAGGCTTCTCCAGTAGGAGAGGTAAGGATCTTGGTAGTACCAAGGTTTTTGTCCCGTTTTACAGGTGAGCGACTGAACTACAAGGCACTTGAGAGCTGAGGACCTTCCTGGCCTTTATGTGATGCAGCAAGGAAGTGAAGCCCACTCGGGAAAACCAGACAGCACTTGCATTTATTCTCAGTGGTAAGGCTTGTCTTACATCCCCTTCCTTCTACAAGATTGTCTTCCCCAACTTTTGGAGTCTTGCCTGTTCCTGACACCCCTCCTTCTCTCTCCCCACTCTTCCCCAAGTAGGCTGCCGTTGTTCCTTTATTCAGTTCATCCAGCATCTTCTTTGAATGTTGACCATGTGTCAGGCACTATTCTAGACACTTAGGGTAGAACAGTGAACCAGTGGCCCTGCCTCCTGGGGCTTACCCTTCAGTGGGGCATATATCGTCTCTTTCTGCTGGACCTTCCCAACTAAACAGAGTCAGGCAGCAGTATTAGAACTGTACAGAGACAAAGAGATAGATAATCCAGGAGGCTTTTAGCAGCCCAGGGACCGTGGGCATGGTCCTGGGTCTCCGAGACACATGGGAAGATATGACTTGGAGTTAGTGAACAAATCCAGGTCAGCATGGATGGAGAGAGGGCCCCAGATGCACAGTACCAGAGATGCCACCCCAGCAAGACTTCTCTTCTAAGGGTGACCGTGCCTCAGTAACTGCCCACCCAGGACAGCCTTTTCTATACGGCCATGAATAGCAAAGAAGGACAGCCCCAGCACACTTGGCAGCATTGGGGAAGAAGAGAAAGCCCATGCCTTCTGGGCTAACGAGTAAGTGAAGAATAGTCAACCCCAATTTGCCCTGGGCAAAATTTTCACATTGTTGGCATTGCTTTCCATTGCTGTATTTCCAGTTCCAAAATCTGATCACCATTGTGTCCACACTGCTTCATCAAGGGCTTTGTTAACGTAAACAGAAACTGAGTTTACCTTATTGAACTTAAGAGGGGAATTATGTAACTGTCTGGGGCTACCTGTGGGAGGGTAGGGTAGGTGGCAAGCCATGGTGTGAACCAGTAGGTTTCTCCCAGCCCCTAGCATATTCCTCTGCCTGGATACCTGGAATACCCAGGTGACTTAGCCTTCTGGAATGAGCACCCTCTTCCCTCTCACTGGCCTATTTTCAAACTGTAATTGCCCCTAGAAGCTCTATATATGAAGTCACAATCTTTAGTACAGATGCATTTATGAAAATACTTTCTTCCCTCGCCATGGAGAGAGGTTATGATTAGGTTAATGCCAGCAGCCCAGGGGGAAGGGCCACCACCAGCACGAGGCAGAGTAGAGTTGGGAAAGGATCCTAATGGGAGTGAGGGAGACCCAGATTCAAATCTTGACCATGTGCTTTGAAACCAGTTGTTGGACATCTTGGATCTTCCATGTGCTCACCCAGTAATTTGGGAAAATAATGCATATTTTACTGTTATTATGAGGATTTAAAGAGATAATAGGCAGAAAAGTATCATACCGACAGCAGGTTAGTTTCCTTACTATAAATTATCTCAGAAAAGTTAACCACATTCAAGACCACCAAAAATGACTAAGTTTTACATCAAAGAAAAGCTTGATCTAAAATGTGCAGAAATGAGAGTGAATTTTCTTGTGCATAATGTAATTCACATGAAAAAGCATGATGCTTTCAAATATAGCCACCATAAAATAAGGTTGGTTATTTTTTTTCTGTGCAGTGACAAATGAGATCTTCTACTGGGCTCTGTGTCTGAAGCTTGAATGTCTTTTTTCTTTAGAGATGGGGTCTTGCTATGTTGCCCAGACTGGAGTGCAGTGATGTCGTCATAGCTTTCTGCAACCTCTAAATCCTGAACTCAACTGATCCTCTTGCTTCAGCCTCTCAAGTAGCTGGGACTATAGACGTGCACCCTTGGACCTGGCTAAAGCTTGAATTTTAAGCAATTAATGTGTTAGGACAAAGTGTGTGCTATTAGTTAGCTATCTGCCTTCACCGAGTGGTGTGAAACTTCAGGCTTACAGAAGTAATGGGCCTAGTCGCAGGTAAAAGTGGAATAATAGTCTAAGAAGTGATATATCCCATTCCCAACATAGAACTGAGGGCAGGGGGAGGGAAATGGGGGAAACATGGAAACAATGGAAAGTCAGATCTTTATCCAGTTTAATTTTGTTTAACTGAAGAAGTATAAATTCTCAGGAAGATTGGGAACAAAAATATTTTGGATGTCCATTATGTGTGCAGCACAATGCTGGGCAAGGGAGAGATAAGTGTGTAGATAGACAAATGCCATGTGGTGTGTTGAAGATTTCAGAGTCAGTGCAGAACCCAGTGGGCAGGTAACAGAAGTTTGACAGCTCATTCCGTGTTCAGCTGGAAACACTGTACTTTACACACGTGCACCAGCAATCCACTAGTCAGCGTTTTACTCACTTTCAAGCATTCCCTGGCCCATTGTTTATCATTTATCAGCAGCGACTAGTTACCGAGTCTGTGATGGAAAACACTAAAGCAGCGCAGCTCCACCCCCAGCAATAGTGAATCCCAAGTTCATTGGCCAAGGAGGGCTTGACTGGCTGCCCTAAGAAAGTTGAAAGCTGTTATTCCTCACTCACCTTTCTGTTTCAGCGGTAGATGGATAAAACATTTTCCTGTCATAAAACAGAGACGATCAGTTTTTAAAACTACATCCAAGATGCCAAAAGGAAGAAACGCACTTAATTTTTGCTTTTTTCCATTTGATCAGCCATGGACGGTTACAGAACTTCACCGAGCAGCTCCTGGATTTATCCCACTGTGATTCTCTGCTTGTATGGGTTTTTCTCCATGATGAGACCCTCAGAACCATTCCTTATCCCGTACTTATCTGGACCAAATAAAAACCTGACCACCACAGAGGTGAGTCAATACATAATACATACCTGTCTTAATGCGGTTCGATTTTGTAGAACTGAAGCAGAGACATGGAGTCAGGGCTTCGTTCATCTTGAGATAAGGCGAACACACGTCCCATTTCGTAGCATTTGTCACGTAAACTACTGTTTCCTCTCCATGCTTGGGCAGCCACAGCGCATTACGTGTGTCACAAATATTTTACCTTTCACAGAGTCCTAACATTAGTTAGTTTAATTAGTTAGTCCTAACATTAGTCTTAGTGCATAGGAAGCTTTCAGGTCTCCATTGGCCTATTGCGCCAATCCTAAAATAACATCGCCACCAGACACAGGATCTAGTCCTAATAAACTGCCAGGCTGCTGAGAGAGAAGCAGGATCTCAGGAAGAATGGTAGCATCTCTTTAAGACATTTAGTCTTACAAAACTATTTATCACCCTGTGAGGCATTAACGGCTTTATCTCCCAGCCTTTGCCTCCTTCCCTGGAAGGCCAGATTCTGTTACTTAAAAAGATCGACCTCTTTTTTCTTATAGTAAGCTCAACAAGAAAAGGCACTGACCCAGCTGCAGAATTAGCTTGGGCTGATTTTACAATCTCCAGCCATAGCCATGAAAACACTGTGTAAAGGGTGTGGCTTCACCTGCGAGCGTAGCTGGTACTGGTTTATTTGATGGTGAGGTGGCAAGGACAGAAAGGAAAGCTTGTTTTGTGGTGTAACATCACGCAGGGACGACTCTGTTTCAGAGTTTCTCAGGTTGAAGCAGGTCGCAATGAAGATAGCAAAGGACGGATGTAGGTCCAGAATCCGTCAGCTCAGTGAACCCACCTGGGTCTGCTTCTGCAACCACTGAGGACCCGTTAATAGACCTTCCCTCCCGCTTAGTGGCGCTGGCCTGTGTTCTGTGCCCCCTGCTTTGCTCAGCAGCCTCAAAACTTCGGGTGTCAGTGGAAGTGCGAGTGCTGTGATTTGGGGGGCCGCTGGGCTCACCTGCCATGCCCCACAGATCAACAACTTCTTCAGCCCTTCCTTTCTATGAAAACCGAAGTCCTGTGCATTTCTTACTAAATCCATGAGTTTAACCCGTATTAAATTGAGGCCAGAATCGTGAAAGCACAAACAAGTCAGTAGAATGATGTGGGGAAAGGATTGGGAGCCCAGCAAATTTTTCCAGGAAGGAAATGAAGTGAATTCCTTGTTCCCACTCTGTAATTCTGCAAAGTTATTTAGTCTTTCCCTGCTTTGCATGTACCTTTCCAGACTTCGGAAAGGCTGAAATTTCTGCGGTAGTGATGGATCAAATAAAGAAAAAGGCTATCGGATTCTTTTAACACTGTAGGCTATTTATCTAATGTTCATCTTTAAACAAAAAGGGAATGATATTTTTTATGAACCTGAAAAACCCATAAGTGTCTGAACAGTTTTTTTTACAAATTTACTCAATGTATCATACTATTTAAACTTAATATATATCCATATTGCATATTAAGCCCAATATATTTTTCTTCTACTGGGATACAATATTGATGCATACTTTAAGTCTATACATTGGTTGTTTTTTTTTCCCCCAGTGGAGAAGGAGACTATCTTTTCTTAGTGATTTCCTCAAAAATCAGTTTTCTGATTATGTTTTTCCATAATATGAGGAATATTTGATTAGACGTAGAATTTGAGGTACAAACCACATGTACCTTAGTAACGTAGCAGTGCTTCACCGTCACGCTGTTTCTCAATTTCGCAGATCATGGGTGAGATCTTCCCCGTTTGGACGTACTCCTACCTGGTACTGTTGTTCCCTGTGTTTGTCCTCACCGATTACGTCCGCTACAAGCCCGTCATCGTCTTGCAAGGGGTCAGCTTCATCATTACCTGGCTGCTGCTCTTGTTCGGCCAAGGAGTGATGTCCATGCAGGTTGTCGAGTTCTTCTACGGGATGGTCACCGCCACCGAGGTGGCCTACTACGCCTACATATACAGCGTGGTCAGCCCGGAGCACTATCAGAGAGTGAGCAGCTACTGTCGGAGCGTCACGCTGGTGGCCTACACGGCCGCCTCCGTGCTGGCCCAACTCCTGGTATCGCTGGCGCACCTGTCGTACTTTTACCTCAATGTCATATCCTTGGTCTCTGTCTCCATAGCCTTCATTTTCTCGCTTTTTCTACCAATGCCCAAGAAAACCATGTTTTTTCACGCAAAACCCAGCAAAGAAATAAAGACATCACCGAGCATGAGTGTGGTGTTAGCAGAACCTCACGAAGGGGAAGTGCTAGGCTGCGGAAGTGAGAAATCCACCGCCACTTCAGGGAACATGAATGATGACCAGCCGAGCAGCCCAAAGCCCAAAAACGTGATCTTGAGAGTTTTCGTGCAGTGGTTCCTGGATTTGAAGGAGTGCTACTCCTCAAAGCATCTTTTCTACTGGTCCCTGTGGTGGGCTTTTTCCACAGCAGGTTTTAACCAAGTTTTGAATTATGTTCAAATCCTGTGGGATTACAAAGCACCGTCCCAAGATTCTTTGATCTATAATGGGGCAGTAGAAGCTATTGCAACATTTGGAGGTAAATAAACATCATTTTATTCTTCTTTTGACAGGCCGCCCCCTTCAGGTCATTTCTCAGGTACTGAACTTCTCTGTGGGGGTAAATGAGCTCTGTTCAAATTGCATAATAGTCTTTTTCAAGAATGAAAGGCACTGGAAAAATAAGAGTACCATGACCTTCTGTTTAATGTGTGACAGTTTAAAACAAGTAACTCAAGAGCTCAAGGCTTAGCACCAGTCAGTCAAATTCTAGTTGAATCCCTAAGATTCCATTTCATCATTAGGACAAGTGTTAATAACACACCCTGTTCTTTCAGGACTATTTTTAATATCAAAAGGAAAAAATGTATTAAGTGAGGGGTTTTTATTACTTTAGAAAATAAATTAAGGCTTCAAAATTCTCATTTAGAGACTCATGTTAATAAAAGACTTGATCTAGCTAACACCTTTAACAATTCTAGGCTATACATCAGCAATTTTCAAAAGCACCTTGCTTACGAGATTTAAATGGTGGGTGGGGGAAGAGATGTGAGAGTTGGGATTCTGATATCAGAGGGAAATCTGCCTTTGAAGTTTACGATAAATATTTATATCCTAGTAAGTTGAAGCTTCAATGTCAAATGAGACTTTGAAGATATTTTCTAGGAAGTGGGAATTTTCCACACGCTCGTTTACAAAGTTTCAGAAGACCCATGTGGCCACCATTTTATTATTATCTCCTTTTTGGGAGGTTTCGGTTTAACTCCTGGAAACCAGGACTGTGCTAGCATTGGTTCACTGAAATTATTGCTCCTACATTCCAAATTCTAGAAGGGGAAACAGTTTTGTCCCTCCCCTTTTGTAGTCATGGTTCTTTTCCTAGATCACGTGGGAAAGTTAATTAATCAAATGTTAGTACAATTATTTGAAACCTAAATACCTTTCATTTTGTTAAAGAGAACCATGACTGACTGACCCTAATTGCTGACCCTAATTACTAATGACTGACCCTAATTGCTGTCAATTATTTAATAACCTCTTCAACTCTGTGAGTCAATATAGACCTTTTCACCCAAAGCCTCAAGTAAATTAGGTCGTGTCCTGAAGACTTTAAGGTGAAGATTAGAAATAAGATTAAGATTAGTAAAGATTAATGATAAAGGCAAACTGATTACTCAAGGCCACACATCTGGTATCTATCACTGAAAAAAACTTACAATAAAAAATGATAAACGCAAGGCAAATGGAGAGGCCAGCTGTACTCCCAGAGCATTTGCTTTATCCTCTTTGATCCCTGCATGTTGTGTTAAATGGCTGGGTTAAGGTATCATTTCTCCCCACACTGCCGTGGTTGGGAACCTTTCCAGCCCCTCTGCACAGCACCTGGTATATAGTAGACACTAATTAAAAGTGCAGTGACCAAGTGACCAAAAGTATAGGAAGTGAAAAGAGAAGCCAAAAGAAAAAAAAAAAATGGTTGGTAAAAGGATAAATCCATGTTTACATGGATCACACACCTTTAGTGTAAGCTATATATTCATCTTTTAGAATTACCTGAGACCTGGGTTTTTAAGAGTATGTTGATATTTCCTGCCTGCAAAGTTAGTATGTTTGATTGCCCCCAGTGTTTATTTTTCAGGGGCGGTGGCTGCTTTTGCAGTGGGTTACGTGAAAGTCAACTGGGATCTTCTGGGAGAGCTGGCCCTGGCGCTCTTCTCGGTTGTCAGTGCAGGCTCTCTGTTCCTCATGCACTACACAGCCAGCATCTGGGCGTGCTATGCGGGCTATCTCATATTCAAGTCCAGCTATATGCTGCTTATAACCATAGCAGTGTAAGTATTACCAACCATTTCTTCCCACTCCTAAAACTGAACCATACTCCTCTTTTTTCTGTATTGTTAAAGTTTCTCTGAGAACTTCAAAAGGATTTTAATCAATGCAATTTTAAATGTTGGCTGGGCACCATGGCTCATGCCTGTAATCCTAGCACTCTGGGAAGTGAGCTGGGAAGATCACTTGAGCTCAGGAGTCTGAGACCAGCCTAAGTAAGAGCCAGACCCCGTCTCTACAAAGTAGAAAAATTATCCGGATGTGGTGGCATGCACCTGTAGTCCCAGATACTTGGGAGGCTGGGGCAGGAGGATAACTTGAACCCAGGAGTTTGAAATTGCAGTGAGCTGATGATGCCGCTACACTATAGCTGGGGCGACAGAGCAAGTGACTCTGTCTCAAAAAAAAAAAAAAATTGACTACTTCATATTAAGTTAGACATAAGCCATCTTTTCATTTAACTACTTGATCTCTGAATATTGCTAAGATCAGTCATCAAGGAAAAAAGTTCTATAGGTTTATAAACCAAAAGCAATGATATTGCCAGGTTTTGATTTTTTATTTCTAGCAATTGCCATAATAAGGTGTGATGGGATCTGATTTTAAACATGTAGGTTTATATTTCATCCCTAATTTCATGTGGTTGCTTGAGTAATTCTAGGTACATACTTCTTCATGACACAAAATATTCTCAGGAAAGTTGGATACTGAAAAAAGCAGATGCAAAGATTACAAGAAACTTGTCGTTGTGCTTATATATGGAACCAAGTGGTTTTTAATCATTTTCTAAAAGTTATTTCTGGGATTTAGAGTTTCCTGTAATCTTTACATCTCCTTTCCTCAGAGATCTTTTAAAGAAAATAATTAAAAACCAGTTGGTTCCAGATATAAGAGCAGCTAAAGCTGATTGCAGGAAATGGGCTTTGCTATTAACCAAAAGAGAAGAAAACATATGAATTTCAAATTGCATGAAAGAATTGGAGACAAAAAGCCTTATTAAATTTTGTTTGTTTTTAATTTGTGGAAATGTTTCACAAACAATTGACAAAACACAGAAACATGAGCATCCAAGGAAAAGTTCATGAGACAAAGGAAAAAGACAAAACTAGTTGGAAAGTGTTTTTTTTTTCACTGAAATGTCTCAGTTTAATGAATCAGACTTATGTATCTTAAGTTTCCTTTTTAATGTGAGGATTTTATTAAGGTAGGATTACATTATTTCGTTTCATTTGAAAGATATTCAGACCCCAAAACCTTTATCTACATTCTAAGGGAGAACTACAAATAATATACATTTGCCAGTCTTTCATAGATGTTTTTTTTATTTCAGTACCCTCATAAATGTTTTATAATAAGATTTTAAAATCTGCATAATTATTAAAGATAAATTAATTATAAATTCATTCAATTATACAACCAGTCATGGTCTGGATCTCCCAAAGAATAATTCACCTATCAAACTTCGAGACTGTCAACGCAGACAATTGATGATAAAATGAATAACTCTAAAAAATTCCTCAGATTGGGTAGTGCTTGCAATTTTATAAAAACTCACTGCTAAATAGCATCTTTCAGATAACAGTCGATGTTCTCAAATTATGAGAACTTAGAACACTTATGTTTAATTTCTAGGAAACACTAAATTGGATAGAAGGAATTTTGCCATGTTACCTTAAATTCAGCCTTTCATGGTAGTTTTACCTCCCTCTTTTGCTCTACCCATTTGTCTATACTGGGGGAGATTTAGACAATAAGTGCTATTGCTTAACAAAACATTGCTTTCTTTTCAGTTTCTATCTTTTAAAGAATTCCATGTATATTATGGTTAAAATGATTATTTGATATTTAATGATAGATTTCAGATTGCAGTCAATCTGAGTGTGGAACGCTACGCTCTGGTGTTTGGAATCAACACTTTCATTGCCTTGGTGATTCAGACCATCATGACTGTGATTGTAGTGGATCAGAGCGGGCTCAACCTGCAAATCAGCATTCAGGTAAGCTGCAACACTTCTGTTTTGCCACTGATATAATTGGTGGGAATATAGAATAACTAGATAACCTCAAAGGTTTCTCCACCTTACAACTAGCAATATTTAAATTTCCTGAATTCCTTGGTTAGCAAATTTAAAATGCACAATTCCTTAATTATATTGTAATATACCAAGTAGGTTTTGAACAATAATTTCAAATAGGTCAACATTTACCTGGATAAGGAAGGTAAGAAGTAACCTCAGTGTCTAAAATTTATTTTTGAAGACATTGTATATAGCATTGTACCAGCCTCTGAACACAGACATATAGACAGATCAGTAGGATTTAGTATTTTTTCACTATTGATGACAGTAGCTAGGATTTGAACCCAAGCAACCTGCTCCAAAGCCAAGACCCTTAGTCCCCACTGCATTACTTACATATTCATACTTGATTTTTCTATAATAACACAGGAGAAGAGAATACTGTCCAATCTAAATAACCTATATTAAGGTCCTGAGTCCCAGTTACCCCATAATCCAATCAAACAAATAGCATCATTAATATATTATCGTTGACGTAGATGGTCAGATATTCTATGTGGCTAATTATTTGTTTTTCTCCAGTTTTTAGTTTATGGGAGTTATTTTGCAGTCATTGCTGGAATTTTCCTAATCAGAAGCGTATACATTATCTACTCAGCCAAATGCCGAAAGGAAGTACAGAGCCCTGCTGCAAGTCAGAATCTGGAGGGGCCACACCCAGAGGAACCAAGAAATACCATCACGTCAACAAAGCTCTAACCTTATTACGTCAACTACTACAGTGGTTTTCAAAGTCACTGAATGAAAGTGCAGGATTTTGAGATGGATGGCCTATGTTTTGCCATAAACTGACATGCTTTGCACGTTTGGATTCCAAATGAACCTTTTCAAGACCACAGTAAAACCTCAGTTTCAGACCAGTTATCTATGTGCCCAGCTGAGCGGGATGTAGTCGACAGGGCCCATCGTCACAATGAAACAACCCATATCGGGGACCCCATGGATGGCAGTAACTGGAAAATTCCAGTTTCCATCACTTGCAAGGACATGCAAATGGCATGGAATTAAACCACGAGAAAACTCCAGCCACTCTGGAGTTAACGTTCCTTTTCTGGGAGCAGAAATACTAGCTGGACTGATGCTGTTGCTTGGCTCAGATACTTGTTTGAGCTTACCAAAGCAGGCAACACCGGGGACATTTTTGTCACATGAGCCACTTTCTTTCCTCTTCCAGTAAGTGTATTTCTGTTTAAGTACAGTTCTCTGAGAGAATTACAAGGTTTGGTCCCATTTCTAAGGGCACCTTTTCAACTCTGATAATATAGCATTATTTACAAGTTATGATTTGATCATATCACCATTTGATTGTTTTATGATTGTTTTTCATTTAATGCTCTCCTGAGCTTTGTTGTTAAATCTCTACCTCAGAGATAGACACTCCTGTGTATCCGCAGAACGACAACTCACGTCAATTCCCAGTGGCCTGGGAGAGGCAATGAGCCTTCTCCCCATCAGGCCCCCAGATAGGTGTTTTAATGTATCGTCGTGATGTCTGTCTAAAATAGGAAAACTTTTTAAGAATTTCCAGAGATTCCTAGAAGTATTCGTAAATAAGAAAACACTGACAGAGGAGGGGTTATAATACACTTAATTTTTAAATGGCAGATATTGTGCTGAATAAAATCTGTCAACATTTTCAAGATTCTTTTTGATTTGTTGATGATTTCTGCTGAAAGTTATCTGAGCATGTCTGTCCTTTGAAGCTGCAATAAAGGATACATTGAGCCAGTCTGACACTGGGAATAAGCAGTGTTGATTCTCCAATTCCCAAGATTCATCTGCTGGATTAAAAATAAAATTCAGCCCAGTAGCCAATACACTCGCTTAGTGGAGAAAACTAATAATATTCCTTATTTGCATCAAAATCAAGGAAAGAATTGCCACTATTATTCTTCTTATTTAAATTATTTTACTGGATTGTCAGGCAGCACATTAGACAAGCAAAAAAAATCAGAAGTCAAAACTTAGAAAGGAGGAGACAAAACCATCATTTTTCCAGAGGCTACAAGTATACGCCTAAGAGACTCAACTAAAAACTAAGATAGTATGTAGAAAGTAAGCATCAAATACAACAGCCAATGAGAAGATATGAGAGGAAAAGATCCCATTTATAGTGGAACAAAAATGATAAAACACTTAAGATTATATTTTCCCTACTTAATAATTTAGTAAATGTGTAAGACATATGAATAAGCTTGAAAACACTTTTGAAGATTATAAACTAACCCCTAAATTATAGAAAAGCCTATCTTGTTGGTTAGGAAGAAAAAAATAACATAAAGACATGAGGCCTCCTAAATAAATTTATAAGTTAAATCCTATCCCTGAAAAAATGTAGCACATTTGTTTTTTTCAGAACTAGTAATGATGATTCTAAGTTTTATTTGGAAAATTAACAAGAACAAAGAAAAATTCTTTTTAAAAGTGGAAAAATGAAATTAAGTTATTTGCAGATATTAAAATTCTACTCTTAAGTACAGTAACATAGGAGTATGACAGTTCAATGGAACCAATAGAAAATTCTGAATTAGTCCTTAAATCTTTGGAGATTTTAGGCTATGATAAAGGTAGCATCTCATAAAAAGAAGAAAAAGATAAATATTTAATAAGACTGAAACAATTTTTTAGAGGAAAAAATAAGTTGGACCCGAAAGTGCTAAAGTAACTCTACCAAACTACGAAAGTACTACAGGAAAACATGTAAGAATTATTTTAAAACCTCAAACCTTTCTAAAGTAACAAATATCCAGATGCAAAAAAAAAATGAAACTACAAAAGTACCATGAGAAAATATATAAGAATTATTTTAGGATCTCAAACCTTTCTAAAGAACCATGCTTGGTGAAATTCTCAACCAACCAGAGTGCAATGTTCTCTTAATTTGCATAGCTGCCACTTTCCTAGAAACTTCATTGTAAATTAAGCTAATGTGAAAAATACTGTTTATATAGAGAGTGGAGTTAATTATAGGTTCCAGTAATTACACATGGGAGTTCACTTACTCGAATGCCCAAGGGATATTTGAAAATCATGTAAGTCACAAAACAAGTCTCTGTTGTGTGGAATGTCCCATGTATGAGAGAATCTACCATCCTTGTCCCTGACCAAGAAATGCCAGTGGTGCCCTCTTCAGGGTGATAGCAAAAACCATCTCTGCAAATTTCCAAGCACCCCAAGGGGGCAGTACCCTCCTCCTTGAGAACCATTGGTTTAAATAGATACTTGATTTCAAAATATCCATGTGTACTTAGACAAGTAAAGCATAGGGCTCTACAAAGATTGTCGAATAGGACCATAATTCTTTTATTTTAATTTAGCAGAATTTATTTGAGCAATTTCAAACAAAGCCAAAGGAAACAAAACCGATTCATGAATTGGGTGGCCCCCAGAACCAAAAAGGGTCAGAGGACTCCAGGACAATAATTCTTAACAGTGACACAGAATGTGTTATTCATATTAATTGTTTGCTCTTGGAGGTCGAGTAAACTCGTTCTTGTTTCCTGTGTTCATATTTGAAATATTTCATATTTCATAACCAACTAGTAAAAAAACCGAGCCTGCTTTGTTGTTACTGTAATAACAATAGTCACACACATTTGGCCCACTCACTCAGTATTCATAGTCAATACAAGTAAGAGTGAGTAAGTAGTCCACTGTGGTCACTCCCAGGGAAAGGTGTTCCACGTGCTTCTTTACGTAATTTATTAAACAGACTGATCGTAGCTTCTTTGCTCTGTGGAACACAGCAGTAGAGGAAAACATGTCCTTTGAAAAAACACAAAAAATCATCTTTGTTCTATTGGCTACCAATTTTCAGGACTTTGTAGTTTTGTCACTTTCAATAAAGTTGGAAGAAAACAAGCAAGGTACAGTAAAGACAGGAAGGTAGGATTGCTTTGTTAGACATAGTGGGTTTTTGTGACTTGAAGAACACTCTATGGAGAAATATGTCAAAAGCTGTGGTTTGTACACAGAACAACTCTGGAACAACAGCTCGCAGGCAGAAGGCAGAAATAAGAATATAAATATAGACAAGGCAAGAGAATAACCATTTCTGGGAAGAAAAGATAGGTCATGGTCCTAGCTTGTTGGTGTTACAGCAAACTGGACCAGGAAACAAACTGAAAGTCGCCCAAGAGTACTGCAAAACAGGTTTTTATTATGCCGGCGGGTTCAGAGGGGTCTCACCTCCAAATTCTGAGCAAATGGGGTTAAAAAATATGCTGGTTTTTATATGCTTGTAAAAGGGAAGCTGGTGGTTACAGAAGCAGATGGTTATGAAGCTTGTATAAGATTGCGTTTAAGTCAAATGTTGTTTTATAGTTGTTTAACCATGCTAGCTTGCAGTTGTGCTATTATTAGGTGGGAAAATTTCCCCTTATATTGGGACTGCCTTTTGTTTATATTTAGACCTTGACTTATGTGAAATATTCAGATTTGGTTTGAGGAAGCTGTAGCTGAAGAGGCAGGCAGGCCCTGGTGACAAGTAAGCCGGGCCAAAGGGTCATTAGAGGGAGAGGGACACATGGAGGTGGGTGTGGCATGTCTGAGGGAAGTGCCATCTCAGGAGATGGAGAAATCATGGTGGCAGGAGGGCAGGTGCCCCAGGCCAGGCAGTGGCCTGCCCAGTAGCCCTGTGTTTGCACTGTTGTCATTGCATTGTTGTCATCACATTTATCACTCAATTTGTCCAAGAAGGTAGGAAGAAATCTTGTAGGTGTCCCTGTTGATAGGGAAGAATAAAAACAGCATCACTCAGAGTTGTTGGCTTTGTTTTATTAGGAAAGTTAGAAAGTGGTGATGTGGGGACTGGAGACAGTAGTAGTGGAAGAGGTGGCAGTGGTGCCCATACACGCAGAGAGGTGGAAATGCAAAGCGGGAAGGCCATCAAATACCCATCGCATAGAATATTCGGAATCATGAGCCCTTTGCCAGGGCTCACCCAGGTGGACTGATGTGTAGGTACTAGGCTGGCGTTACATTTTGGTAATGGCCATTTCCTATTTGGATTTTTTTTTTTTTAATAAAAGAGTTTTAAACTACTGGGTTCAAAAAGAGGAGTGCAGAGTCCAAAGTAGTAAGTCCCAGGACACCAAGTAGGTGATACCAAGTAAGGAGGTCTGGGAGAGAAGTAGACAGGGGCATGGGGGGAAAGTGTCATTAACTGGAGAGAGCAGGTCCCAGCACCTCTTAGGCTAGACACAGAGCTGGGCGGCGCCTAGCAGCAGCACTGCTTCTTGCAGCCGCAGCTCTGCTGGCAGCAGCACTTCTGCTGGCAACAGCCCTTCCCGCAGCCGCCGCCGCAGCCGCACGAGCTGCAGGAGCGGCGGCAGCAGCAGATCACGGGCGTGCTGCAGCAGCCCCCGCAGCACCGCGGCAGCAGGCAGCAGGCGAGCAGCAGCCACCCGGTAGCACCTGCAGCCGCCGCAGCCACCGCAGCCGCCACCGCAGCCACCACAGCCACCACCGCAGCCGCCACCGCAGCCACCACAGCCGCCACCGCAGCCACCACAACCACAGCAACCCATGGTGTCAGTAGAGAGGACTCAGGACAAGTGAGGAGGGAGGACTCAGTGGAGGTGCGGGAGGTCTGGTGCCTCCTTCTGCTGGGGGAGGCCCTTATATACCATCTCGAGGAGGATGGTGACAGAGTGACCCAGCACACATGACAAATGGCTACTTCCTTGTTACTATTTATTCCAGTATCCACAAAACAATCTAGAGTTCTTTCTCATCTATATCCCTACTGGGAAAGATTGGCTTAATAAAACAGTTAACTTTTAAAAGAAAATTTTCTAAAATGTTAAAGCTCCCATTCACATATTCAGAACGAGGAGGCTTCGTAGATTAAAAAGACTCAGAAGGTTTGACATACAAGAAAGGGGGAACATGAATGCCTTCTGGCTCGGTAGAATATGGGGAGGAAAAGAGAAAGAAAAACAGAGATAGAAGAAATAAGTTGATATGCATCTTATCCTCTTCCTGGGATGGCGTGCTCAACTTGAGGAGTGACCCCAAGCGCCCCCCAACCCCCATGTGGAGTGGGAGAGACCCAGAATGTCCCTTTGTACAATGCAGGCGCAGAGACGGCCACAGGTGGTGCTGGCTGGCCAGGTGGCTACAGAGTCACCATATTCCACATAGTGAATCGAGAAGAAAAAAATGTTGCTGTATAGAGGGAGACTGACTGTGACAACACTTACCTGTCACAGAGAGATCCTTACACCTTTCTTAGGGACACATGAAAGAGTGACGTTTCTTATAGTCAATGACATATTGGGTTCAACGAAATATAAAATGGTTACTATGTTTGAAGAAATAAAAGAAGATAGTGTAAGTATAACAAAAGAACAGAAGACTATCAATGATGACCAAGCAAATCTGCAAAGGAACCAAATTTCTAAAACTTATAGAGAAATAAATGAAACGAGTGAACATAAAAACTCAATGTACAGGTTAAACAGATTATTACACAGAGATGAAGAGAAAACTGGTGACGGACAACAGAGCTTAATAAATTACTCGGAATGCCACACAGGGAGGCAAAGAGATTAAAAATAAGAAAAGCAAAAAAGATGAAACAGGGAGGATTTCTGACAGTAGTTCTCAAGCAGAGGTGTCACTTTATGGGGAATTTGGAAAAATATGAAGCCACTCTCATCTCCCTGTCAACGTTCAGTGTCTGGGGACCAGGAATGTAAAATGTCCCATAATGCAAGGAGTAGTGTCACAAGATAAAGAATTTTCCCACCCAAATTTACAACAGTGCTTCTGTTGAGAAACATCAGTTCTGCAAATGTCTGATTGAAGTTAAAAAAAAGAAGATAATACAATGGAAAAGACATCATATTCAAGGATAACGGTCAGCAGTTTTCCGAAGTGATGTAAGACGCCGATACTCAAATTCAAGTGTCTCAACAAAATCAAGTTGAATAAAACCAAAGAAATTCAAACTTACCCACTTTGTGGTACAACTGAACAACAACAACAGAAATCTAAAAATAGCCAGAAATAAAAGGAGGATAACTTGCAAAGGAATGATCGTTAAAACAAAGGCAGAGG